TGTGGACGATCAGCCTCAAGCGTGTCACAGATGGACACATCAAGGGCCATTTAAACGGCATGTTAAATCAGTGCAGCTGCCCCCCACACCAGCAAATGCATCTATGCAAAGAGAAGGGAGGAATCCAGCAGAAGCAATTACAGTGGGGAATCACACGTACATACAGAGGAAAACACAACATATATAGGCAGACAGAAACAGAGACAGACCCTAACTTACCAATAATAGACTCCCCCCTACCCCGTTCAGGCTACTTTCTCCTACTGCACACTGCAAAGTGATGGACAGCGCACACATTCCCATTGACTGCCCATTCACAAGCTGGGAATTTGACTGACCCTGTATTAACAGCCTCATCTTTAATGCTAGACTTTTCAAAGGAGCCAACAATCAAGGCAGGAGGGATCTCAGCAGCCCTGCCTGCTGAAATGCTGTGCCAGGTGATAATTACTGAATCCCTGCACCTCTCTCTCCTGGTGAAACAAAAGGCAGTCACATCACACTCTCCCCAGCTTCTCCTCTACCTGAATTTCAACTTTTAATTGAAGTGAGTGTGCCTAGGGGGTGGGGGCAGAGTTATACCCAACACCCCCGCAGACTCTGGCTGAAATCAAAATCCACAGCAGATCTGAGACTATGAAAGCTGCCTCCCCCCTTACCTCCCCACCTCACCCCTTTTCAGTCCAATCTGCCCACTCCACACACCTTATCCATCCACCCCTACTGCCCCCATGCCCTGCACTCCCCCACATCCCTTGCCCGAGCTACAGGAGAGGGATTTGATGAATGACCTCTATTGCATGCTACCAAAAGGAGGGTGGGGGTGGGGGTAGGAGGGGGGGAAATTGCAAGAAAAGATGCAGTTTGCTACACTAGTTTCTTTTGTACTCTATAGCTTTAATAGAAAATGGCGTTAGGGGAGAGAAAGAAAGAAACCTACTTGAGTTAGTTCTGTGCCCATCAAGATGAGAAAGAAGAGGCTCAAAAGCTTGCTTGCAGGTTGCATCTCTTGCACACAGGTCCAGGCACCTTGCATGCAGTTCCCCGCTTTCGTCCTGGGTTATTTTTTTTCCCCTGCGTTGATCACCGACTCCCTTGCTTCCTTTCCAGTCCTTTCTTATTATTTTTTTTCTAAAAAAAAAAAATAATAATAATAATAATAATAATAATATAGATATCTATTATGATTATTCTCTCAGTGGCTCTCAGCACCCTGAGAAGGCAATGCAGGAAATCTGCTTAGTCGAGCCTTCACTTTGCATATTTATTGAGATTCCAGTTTCTCTTCTCTCCTCTCCGTGCTGGCTTTCTCCCTGGCTTTTTAATTTTTTTTAATTTTTTTATTTTTTTAATGGCTCCCCTGATCGAAAGACATTTGCGAGGAGAAATTCAACGGAGCACGAAATGATTATCTCTGCTATTGCCAAAAGTTTGCCTTGAAAAGGGGGGCTGATGGAGGGAGGACAGGGATTA